ACAGGTTAACCGTAGCCTTTCTGTTGAAAAGTTGAGCATCTGTGCCTTTGAAATCAAGAGCAATCAAAGCTTAGCAAATTAGATTAGTTTCTTACGGTCTCATACTACACTTGCAAGGGAACAGAAGAGAAACAGCCCTTCTTCATAAGAGTTGCAGAACTATTTATCCTTTTTTCTGTACAGTATTCATTTCCCATGTTACTCTAGAATAACTTTGTTTTAAAAGTAATGAGTTACGCAGTCTGTAGTGAAGGATATTCAGGGTGAAACATGAAATAAGTGAATAAGAATGTTTTGATATTGTGGAGTTAGGCTTGTTTAGAAACAAATAAAGAAAATACTGCCCAAGTAATCATTTGTATTTGGCTATTTATGCTGCCAAGATACTCACCACCAAGGTAACCAACTGGAGTGTCCACAGCCTATGCTCCGAGAGGCTATTCTCAAAGGATTTTTTCCCCATCCACTTCTGAAGCAGTAATTCACATAGAAGACTCTAGAGAGAATCAAGACGACGAATGTCTGTTTCAGGGGACGGAATTGCTGCGATTACTTTCAACCTTTATCCAAGGAAACTGAATTTCTGTATGATGTTTTGTAAAATGACAGTGACTCATAGGGCCATTACCAGAGAGCCTACCGTACAGAGAGACGTTTTCCATACATGTAACGAGAAAGGTGACTTTGTACCTAACTGAATCCAGCACATCCTGAAGAAGACTTAGAGAATATCTCAGGTCTGAGAGGTCAACTGAGGATTGTTTAGTATTGTGACCAATACATTTTTCACGAGAATACAAGCTAAGATAGCTCATGAGTCAGTTCCTCAAGAGGATTAGCATTTTCCTAAGTTTAATACTGCTGCCTTACTAAGATTAAAAAAAAAAAATAATAATAGCAGTCCTATTGCATTTACCAAAACTTTATTCAGCAATTTTAAGTGATCTACTAATTCCAAAATGATAAACACAAAATCAGGGCTTAAATGGTGCTGGAAGCACATACCTGCAGCGTGGCTTCTGGAGATGGAGTCCGTTTTGCACAACCAAACCTGACTAAATGTTTCTGCTTGATTTCTGGGATCAAAGTAGAATTATTTAGCTCATGCAGTGTTTCCACTCCTGTGGTTTCTGAGACCTGCCTCAGGAGTGAGGGCATCCTGCATGGCAGCAGGGAACACAACTTGCATTGCACCTGAGCTAAATGCCCACCAGGATGGCTCCAGGACAGGGGCAGGGTCATCACATCACCATAGCACAATAATCACGTATCACCCAGGTAATTATTTTAGACACAGCACCCTGCTAGCATGGCCGCGCTTCCTTCAAGACCTGAGCTGCCTGAATGAGGCAGGTGTGTTCATCTACCAGTAGCCTGAGGCCTTCCAACAACATGCTGACATAACTCTTTGGACACGCGCATGACTTCTTTCTCCTGAACGCGTTCCAGTTATATGAGTCCCCACCAGGGATCACCCTCCAGCCTTGAGTCCAGGTGGGATGCCACATCTTGTGCTCCCTCGCACAGAATGTCTCACACAGCAGGAGGAGGAGGCTGCACCTAAGCTGCTTACAAAGAATGGTTCCTGGCCCAGGCTAACCTTTGGGTCATGCAAGGGGATTGTCTGGGAGATTAATAGTCACGGGCCAAAACTGTACCAGGGAGCGTGCCACTAGTCTTACAGTACGGATGGTTACACATCATCTCCTCTGCTCTGGGCCTGCCCTGGCAATATTGCAATTCTAGTAGAGATGTAGCCATAGTTAACATCATTTTGAAGGAGTTGAACCTGGGCTAAGTCATTTTGACTGTGAGCAGGACTTATTATTCCATGGATCACACGGCTTTCTGTCAGTTCAGAACAAGCTCAACTGTGCTTGCAAAATAATGTGCAAATACGTCGCAACCCAGAGCATTATGTAATCAGATCCTCCTGCTATAGGAAACAACATATTCCAGAAGTTCCTGGGAGTTTGTGCAGGAGTGGAACAAAAGCACAACTCTTCGTAAAACACAGAATTTTACATAACGTACGGTTAGGCATCTGGGCAAACCGAACCAAGAAACTGTTGATCAAAATCTCTGCTGTCCATAGGAGTGTTTCTACAGACTAAGTCTGCCTGTAAACCATATTCCAAATTATTAGTGATTCATACCACTTTATCATGGACATGTCTAATGTGATTGCAGTGTTTGATTAGATGCTCTATTCAAAAGGTTTTGTGTTAGAAGACCATGACAGTATCTTGCCCGTCTTCTCCTTTGCCCTGTTTCACAGCTTTATCCATCCTCCCTGCCATGGTCCCAAGTACTTTCTCCCACTGTGATTAGTCAGATACCTCATTCCACTGCAGTCTGTAGCTGCAAATGCTCCCTCCTGCCTGGCACGTTGCATCCTGGAGATCCACGTCTTCCAAGACTGTAAGCCTGACAGGAAAGAACTACCATGATACCCAAGAATATGTCATCCCATGACCAGAGCAGTAGATATGGCAGCACTGAAGAACAGGCAAGAGAAAGCTGGGTCCCAAGCGTGACAGTAAGGTTAAGTCATCTGCCTGAGCCCTTCTCCGAGAATTGTTCAGCGCAGTTGCCTTTCCGTCTCCCCGCCTTTGTCTTTCTGACTGACACTTCACTGACAATATCAAAAACATACGCTGTTGTATTGGGTGTCAGCGCCAAGGTTTTGGCAGTGGTGGGGCTGCAGGGATAGCCTCCATGAAGAGAGGCCAGGGCTGCCCAGCGCCAGAGACGGCAAGTTCCTGCCACGCTACAACGGACCCAGGGTATACCCAGCTGACAACCGTACGGACTCTGCGTTCACAGGTGCGCACCGCCTTTGGGCTACTGCCAAGGAGTGGCAAAAAGTAAAATGATAAAGAGACAGAGACAAAAGAGGCAACATATTTCTGTATTTCTCATTCTAAAAGACACAGAAGGTCTCCTCAACTGAGGTGAACAGTCAAAAAGCCAAAGACTGCTCTGGCTTGGCATGTGAGTGCTGCAGTGTGGTATCCAAGCTCTTTAGCCACATAAGCCATCCCTTCTTTCCCATTGTGTCCCCACCTGCAGCAAAGGTCATCTTTTTTTCCTTTCTGTCCTGCTGCTAAGATAGAACTGCAGCACAGGAGAGACTTGCAGAAATGATATGGGTGGCATCTACTTCCTTCTCACGCTCTTCAAACCTCTAGAAAGACGCTACAACGGACCCAGGGTATACCCAGCTGACAACCGTACGGACTCTGCGTTCACAGGTGCGCACCGCCTTTGGGCTACTGCCAAGGAGTGGCAAAAAGTAAAATGATAAAGAGACAGAGACAAAAGAGGCAACATATTTCTGTATTTCTCATTCTAAAAGACACAGAAGGTCTCCTCAACTGAGGTGAACAGTCAAAAAGCCAAAGACTGCTCTGGCTTGGCATGTGAGTGCTGCAGTGTGGTATCCAAGCTCTTTAGCCACATAAGCCATCCCTTCTTTCCCATTGTGTCCCCACCTGCAGCAAAGGTCATCTTTTTTTCCTTTCTGTCCTGCTGCTAAGATAGAACTGCAGCACAGGAGAGACTTGCAGAAATGATATGGGTGGCATCTACTTCCTTCTCACGCTCTTCCACCCTCTAGAAGGATCAGGCCCCAGAGCTTACCATGTCTCTCTTCTTTGGGGAGTTCCTCAGGGTGTGCCATGAACCACACTGAATGGGCTCTGCTTATGCCACCAAGCAGAAGCTGTTGCAGCCCTAGACCGAGTGCTGCACCAGTATCATGGGAAACACGTTACGTGTAAAGCAGTCCATTAACTGTACCATAAACCCCACATTCCTGCAACTGTGCCGTTAAAGAAGTATTTCTGACCACTTGCAGAGACATCTTATGAGACCGGGCAGATGTTTTTAAAACCTGAAAAGAACACTTCATGAAGATATGAAGAGAACTTTCCAGTGCCACTAGTCAGGAAACAGTCTAAGCACCAACACTGAGAATGAGCACTGCAAATTTTAGAAGACTGAATCCTTGCATTTCAAAGTGTAATAACCAAAGTCTAGCTATTAAACCAAACTCACACCAATGTTTTAAAAACACATCCCTGCCACCCCAGTGTACTAGTTCTGCAAGTATTTATTAGGAAATTCTGAACACCTAATATTTGTGTCTCTGAAAGGTGATATAAATCAGGAACCCCATGTTCCTATTTAACATGTCTCAATGACTTCAGATCAAACTTGCTCAGTTCACAAGCAAAACGATGATTTCTGTAACTAACATCTTTGCACGTACTCAGCCTCATCTGTAGAAAGCTACCTCTGCGTAGCCAGTGCCACAATCCCCAACATAAGACTCAAAAGCTGAAATCTAATTAGCAATTCTGAACAAACTAGATTGGAATCCTGCCCACTCTGACCATTCCAAATAAAAAAAGCCCTCATCTTTGTAATTGGAAAAATACCTAGGAGATTGCCTAGAGAGTGAAAAATCGCCCTAGCTCAGCTAAGCATAGACTAAAATTAAGATGCTTTCTTCAGCATCAGTATTAAGTGCTTTGCTGAATTGGGGCCTTAAAGATGACCACGGTCATATCCAACATTTTCAGAAAGTCAATTCATAGGCCTTAACTAAGTTCTGGCTTTGGACGAAGGACATGGGACTTTCAACCTTATAACATTGCTTTAAGGTATTTTGCACTGAAAGGTGAAATTTTGGAGACTGCTGCGCTTCCTATTATCATCAGACGTATCTCTGAAAGCAAAAGCTTTATGCACGTGATACAGTTTGCAATGAGTTTGAATAGCTGTGAGTATGCATGAGTAAAATAACCTCAGCATTATTTTTTAAAAATCAATTGTAAAAGACACTGCAACTTCAAATCCACGTTTTTAATGTAAGATACCATATATGCAAAGTATTTCACAAATATTTTATCAAAATCCACTGCAAAAATCATCATGGATTAATGTTTTTCTGCTAAAACTTTTAAAATGAGAAAAAGTTATGAGTGGACCATATGCTATTCTGGAAGCAAATCCTCTCCTAGTTCTTCATCAGCAAAGTCATCTTCCTCAGTTCTTTTTCTTGCTGCAGTTTTTGGTCTTTCTGCTTGCGGGCCAAGTGGATCTACGTAGGAGGCATCTAGGGTTTAAATAAATACATTGGAAACAGTTACCTGCAAGTAATTTTAGCTTTGTTTCAAACATATACAATGAAACACAAGAGCGGGTTTTTGCACTACACATCTGCAAGGTATCTTTCAAATGCAGACCAGAAAGAACATGTGAACACTGGAGAACAAGATACCACATTCGGGAAGCAAGGCATGGCGCAAGAGCAAAGTACCTACGTGCTAGTAATAACAGCTTTTTTCTTCCTTTTTTTTTTTTAAATAAATTTCTCTTTATTTTATTACAGTCACTAAGTGAGAAAAAGACTTCGGAAAAGTGCATGGAACAGGAAGACTGATGAGTTGGTTAAAGGAAGTACCGCATTCCACATGGATTTGGGATTTTAAACCCCTTTGAAAATTCAATCTTAGTGAGAACTTATGACTGCAGAACCACAAGAAGTGAGTAAAGGATGGAGCAGACAGATATTGAAAGTAATAAATATTTACACGGGCCACATCTCTTAATATTTACAATTTCTTTATAGTGAGCTCTAAACAATGAAGCTAAAGCCATTCTTCACATTTATTTAATGGGGAAAATGTCTTCCTAATTGCCTAATTATATATGCTCTTCCAAGAACTTATTTTTTCCACCTCCTCTGTCTTTGAGGGCGAGGAAAGCAAGAAGGTATAAGATGCCCACTTGCCTATTTCTTTGCTGCCGCTACTTTCATAGGGTTCACTTGCTCCAGGCAAAGCTTTTAGTTTGGCACTCAGTCTTTCCCCTTTGGTACCACCACTATCTGGGGGGGAAAAAAAGAAAAAGTTGAAAACAAACAACATGCTGCTATGTTCTGTGAAATCATGATAAAAGAACAACATAAATTCAGCTACTATCTGTCAAACAAGATTTGGATGAAACCATCTTTTCATGATGGATACAGTACTCCTTTGTAATAGTGGTCATTAAAACACAATGGACACTGTGTCCACACATGTGTGTTTTAATTTATTTTTAAAAAATATATACAGCCTTATTTACTTTGGAGTAAACACATTAAAATATTTCTGCTTCAAATGCTGACATTTCAGCTGCTTATAAATTACAGTCACATTTTGGAGTTAAAATAAGCATGATAAATATAAACACTGTCACAACATATAGGGATATTTCATATGTCTGTGTGCTTACTAATATATTAGTATGATCCACCTGTTGAACGCTCTCAAGGTTAAATACAACACTAACTTTGCTTTTAATTAGAAGAGTATATTTGGCATGTGCTGCCTGCGTGGCAGGCAGGCACAGTTCATGTATGCTATACAGACCATCCTGGCCCTGCATCTTGCTGTAAACAGTGTGCTGGCAGCTCAGTTTGCAGCGGGGCCCCAAGGAATGTGTCAGCTCCGAGGGCTGCCTCGTGCCCAGACAACGTCAGATTAACATTCTCTTGCCACAGCAGTATTCCAGACACTTTAAATATTCTGTTCACCTCTGAATCTCTTTTTCACATTCATGGCAAGCTTTCAATCTCGTCTGCTACAACAAATTTTTATGCTTTTTTTTTTCTCCTAGGAGAAAACGTTTCATGTTTGGCTTGGTATATTTACAAGGCAGGACATGCCATGCTGCCAAATACAAACACGCTCGTTTACACCACCAAACAATGCTGTTATTAAAAGTCCTCCATCTGCAAGGACGAAAAATGCATTTCATTCAGCAAACATTCATTACAAAGTCTGGACTTGGTGACACATTTCCATTGTCTTATTTACTATAAATGTTCTTTTTTATAAATATTGTTACTATAAAAAAAAAATCTTCCACAAAGATGACAAACCTTTATTTCTCTATAAAGACTACTGCAGGGCTCAGTTTACTCAGCCCTGAATTGGAAGACAATGTCTCTGCTCCAAGAAAGATCTAATACATACAGTCACATGTCAAACAGTTAATATATTTACAAGACACAGATTACCGTTGAAACTTCAAAGCAAGGAAAATTTATTTTAATGTACGTTGACCTCCCTGGGATCAATTCTCATTGACAGGTTCCACGGAAGAAGCGAATGCTTAACAAAGGATTTGAAGAAACTGAAAGAAATCAATGTGTTTGATTGGAGGTGCTCAACCAAAGGGCTGTGAAATTACCAAAGGGTCGCCTCTGGATTTCAGCGGGCTTTGGGCAGGCCTGCGCAACAAGGAGGTGAGTGCTGAGCTTCAAAGATGGTGTGGATGAAAACGTTTTGAGGACAGTTTAGAGGAGATTATGAAATGTTTAACAGGGAGAGAAAGAGTAGGATAGGAGTAGTCTTGTGCAATGGAAAACAAGTAATTTACAAAATAACGAATAAAATTGGAACAAGCAGTAAGGCGATGCAAAGGCAGGAACGATACAGCAGAAACTACACTAGGGGAAAACTGAACTAGTCAAAGACACTCCATAGGTTTAATTGGTTGGCTCCAGAAAGGAAGAACTGGGTGCAATGAAAATAAAAGAGGAAGATGACATATCAAAGGTTTTCAACTGCGAAGGAGGAAAACACATAGGTTTTAGTGATACTACCAGAGGAAGGTGAAAGATCTTATATTAACTAAAAGAAGAAAAAAAAGGATGGTATACAACCCAAAATGGGCAGGAAAAACATAATATCCACAAGTTACCTGTACATCTTACTGCCCTAAAACAAACAATTGAAAACAGAAGCTTTCTTGGACATCCTAGGACCCTTAAGTTTTATTAGGACTACATCCAAGAAGGGAATAAAGCAGTAAGCCCAAAATTTGAAGCCAAATTTTCCCCCCTTTTCTCTCCCTATCTAGTGGATGTCCAACCCTTGAAGTATCTAAACCTCACCAACTGCCCCCCTCCCCGCACAGCTTTGAAGTTCCTTAAGCACTTATTGCTATGAGTGAGTTGCCCGAAATGGCCATCCTGAGCAGCAGGATGCCTGCAGGATGTTCAGCGTGCGACCCTGCTGCCTAAGCTCCCCTTTCTGTTTATAAGCCAATACAGTAAATGGAACTGTGAGTGCTGTTACAGTGAGCAAATGTTCATGCAAATGTAGCTTTTTAGGCTTCAGGCTTGACTCAGTTGCCCGAACACATTATTTACTGCATTTAATGAACTGAACCAACTCACCAAAGGGTCAGATTAATGCTAGAAGTAGCGCAAGGGAAGCAGCAAGAACATATGACCAGGAATGGGAAAGAAAAGAAGTGCTGAGGGGAGCCGGACTGTTCTTTCCGGAAGCAGGAAGTTAATTGATCAGTACATCCCACCTTGACTAAACGCACCCTGGAAAAAACTATAAAGACTAAGTGTCTATGGGCACAGTGTCCTCTTAACAGGTAAGCAGTAAGATCATATGGATGCCTTACTGGATTAAAGATCTATCTAAACTGGCTTATTGTCCATACAAAAGAACAAGATGCTTAGCGAAGAGCATCATAAGAAGAGCAAGCATATACAGTAGCTCTCCAAGAATAATTTCCTAGCTTCCAAGAATCTGTAAATCAAGCATGTGTTTGGGGGAGGGGGGCGGCTCTTCATATTTAATAATGGATTGATTGATTTATTCTCCAATAACTTGTTCAGTCTTCCCTGGAGCCCCTGTGAAATTTTTGCATCCGTATCAACCTGAGGTAAGGAGTTCCACCTTTCATTTACTCTGAACCTACCAATCTAGCCCCACCTCGCCACAGAAAGGAGCAGCCTGCCCTTCCTGCCCTGCATCGCATCCCCCTCCACATGCCATCACGTGGTAGCAGGTTGTGCTGGAGCAGGTTACTGATACGTTTAAAGCTAACCTAATGAAAACTTTTTCTCAAGTGGATCAGCAAAGTAATGCAGCTCACCTTACCTCTACATGACCATTATATCTACAGCAAGAGTGAAGGGAAGGTTAACATCTCTTCTGGTAGCAGCCCACAGTTAGTTTAACTTAAGCTAATACACAAAACCACATCAAGTCTCCATGGACTCCACTATGCTCTAAGCATACCTAAAAATGTGGAAGGAGCAGCATCTTTCATTTTAATGTGCATCTGGAAGAGAATAAGAGGTGGTTGACACCGTCTACCTTACACGGAGATGTCAGACAGCAGCTCAGGAAGCAAGAAGTCTGTGGCTTCAATGCCTTCCTTCACCTGAGGGAGTTCAAACCCACAGCTCCATCTTTCCAGAGGAATGTCCTAGTTGTTGAGCCATTTGGGGTAAGGCTTTTCTTGACATCTCTGCCATGGGATACAGGATTTGGCTGCCAATATGGCAGCTATTAAAAATTCTGCTGACCATATAACATGATCTGCCAGAAGTTTAAATCTCAATTTGAAATTACTTTTTGTAGTTCTATTTACAGGTAAATCATCTATATGTTTTTATTCAGTATACATACATATTTTGGCCAAAGATTTTATACACATTCCAGCTTTTGGATTATGGGAATGAAACTAACTTTCACTAAAGTAATACACAGAAAAAAAAAAAGAAGGTAACATTGGGACAAAGGATAATAATAAAAGCTCTGGATGAAAAGCTTTTTTGTAGAGTTTTTCTCTACTAATAGTACAGCTTTGAGTGTTAGTATCTGTCTGATTGCACTTGCAATCAAAGGACTACAGGTAGACATTTCTCAAACTGCAAATGAGTTATATCTGCACTACTCTCAACTTCCATACAAAAACTAATTTGAACTAATTCCTCCACATACAATTTTAAAAAAGAATCAAAGTATACAACTTATTTTTTAAAAAATTGTTAACTTTATATGGCAGAATAATGAATAAAGCAACATTCTGCAAAATTAATCCTATTTTGGAATAATCCTGTTTTAAGCAGTGATATCTAGCAAAAAGATTCTAAATGTTTGTAAGTGTTTCTGTACTTCCTACTTAGCAAGATACCTGTGTGTATACCACTTCAACCCATAGAATCCATGATTTTATATTTATTTTTAAAGGACTCTCACTAGTTGCAATTACAGTGATGAGACTACTGCATCAGAATTTCCTTCAGTATCACAAAGGACATAAAATAGAATTTTTAGTTCCATTTTACTCAGCAGGAAAAGATATCAAAGGGTAAGGTTGTTTGGTAATCTACCTCCTCTGTAAAATGTTTACGTAATGAAGTGCATAGTGAGCTAATGCTTTTAAAGACTACAGATGCTTCACTAAATCCAGAATGTGTTTAAATGCGGCTCTGTATATCTTTCATATTTGGGATGAAGACACCATTGTTGGAGAAGAGAGGGCTTTGGTTTGGTTTGACCAAAGAGAAGAGTACATTCAGCGTAGCAGGCAGAATATTATATTAAAACTGAGAAATGGCATGGGAACCAGATGCAATTTTTAACTCCACTGCAGTTCATTTTGATTTGAAATTCTGTAGAATGAAAATTGTTTATAGTGTGTCAGTTCAGCTAACTCCTTAGGTGAGTTCAGATGCAGAAAACAGATTAAGATGTTCTCTTCACTCGGGTATTTTCCCCGTCTGTTTATAAAAAATTACTTTTTTTTTTTCACACATAGCCAATGGAACCATCCCATGATGATTTGTGATTAATAAGGCATCAACAGGCAAAATATAAGTGAAAATATAGTGATCATGAAGTCCTGGCTGCAGGGTAACATGAGAATCTCTTGCCTCTATCGCAGTCAAGATTATTTGGGATGCTTATAGCCCTAACATCTATAATGTACTTCCATATTATATGAGGAGATCCCTATGGGCTGGTAAAGGATGTTTGGTTATGGGATGTTTGTTTGGGATGGACAAAACCATTTCTCCACTGACAGCATCACAGGTGAAATGAAAAAGGGAAAAGACACCTAAATTATTCTCACGTGGTTTCCTTCCCAAATTTATCTGGACAGGCTTAGGTAACAAGGAGAATGAATAGTGCTCAGCCTTTCATCTTCTGAATTCAACACTGCTTCTTTGGGCTCCTGTCCGAGACTGCATGGCTCCTCTCATCCAGTACAAAACTCCCCTCTCATCCAGTACAAAACTCCCCATTCAGAGAGCAGGGCAACTGCAGAGACCAAGCAAACACTGCTGTGGTCATGTATTCCTTAAAGTCATACTTTCCCTTATCTATGAAAGGCCTTATGCTATTGAACAGTAAAAATCTCTTAGGGTAGTAAAAACCATCATGTCCTAACTTCCAAATTCTGGATGTTACTATCACATCTCTGCAAAACACAAAAAAAGTGAGTATGAAAACATGAAAAGACTATTGGAAAGGAAATCTTTGAGAACTGCCTAAACTCAGATGTACTGTTATAGCTCCCTTCAGGGTTTTGTTGTTTTTTTTTTTTCTTTCTCCTTTTTTAAATTAAAAAGAAGAATTTTAAGGGAGTGTACCAAAGTCATCTGCTTCCAACATGAATCAAAAAGATTGACAATCATAAATCTGATATTTGTGGGGAAAAGAAAATTTCACATTTTATAATAAGAGTGAACAAATGTGTTCAATTTTGGTTAGGCATTTTAGATTTAATGCTTATTCTTCTCACAAGACAAGAGCAGACTTTAACTGACACTGATATAGATGTCAGTTTTCTTGGTCTCCCTTTTTCCATTGTCTACCATTCATGCATACACTAATCATATTCTTCAAATTATGCTCTGGTGCATCTCATGCACCTTCTGTTTTAATTTATATTGGCAAAGTAATAGGTGTCCTATTAAGTACAAACCCTGCTGACTTAGTTCTCTTTCATAGAATCATAGAATCGTCCAGGTTGGAAAAGACCCTTAAGATCATCGAGTCCAACCGTTAACCTAGCACTGCCAAGTCCATCTATACCATGTCCTCGAGCACCACATCTATCCGTCCTTTAAATACCTCCAGGGATGGAGACTCAACCACTTCCCTGGGCAGCCTGGTCCAATGCTTGACCACCCTTTCGGTGAAGAAGTTTTTCCTAATGCCTAACCTAAACCTCCCCTGGCGCAGCTTGAGGCCATTTCCTCTCATCTTATCACTTGTTACTAGGGAGAAGAGGCCGACCCCCACCTCGCTACAACCTCCTTTCAGGTAGCTGTAGAGAGCAATAAAGTCTCCCCTCAGCCTCCTCTTCTCCAGACTAAACAACCCCAGCTCCCTCAGCCGCTCCTCATAAGACTTGTGCTCCAGACCCTTCACCAACTTCGTTGCCCTTCTCTGGACACGCTTCAGCACCTCGATGTCCTTCTTGTAGCGAGGGGCCCAAAACTGAATACAGTACTCGAGGTGTGGCCTCACCAGTGCAAAGTACAGGGGCACTATCACCTCCCTGGTCCTGCTGGCCACACTATTCCTGATACAAGCCAGGATGCCATTGGCCCTCTTGTTGCGACCCAAGTGCAGGACCCGGCACTGAGCCTTGTTGAATCTCATGCAGTTGGCCCCAGCCCATCGATCCAGCCTGTCCAGGTCCCTCTGTAGGGCCTTCCTACCCTCCAGCAGATCGACACTTCCACCCAACTTGGTGTCATCTGCAAACTTACTGAGGGTGCACTCGATCCCCTCATCCTGATCATCAGTGAAGATATTGAACAGGACCAGCCCCAGTACTGAGCCCTGGGGAACACCACTCGTGACTCACCACCAATTGGATTTGACTCCATTCACCACCACTCTCTGGGCTCGGCCGTCCAGTCAGTTTTTAACCCAGCGTAGAGTGCACCCATCCAAGCTGTGTGCAGCCAGCTTCTCCAGGAGAATGCTGTGGGAGACTGCGTCAAAGGCCTTACTTTCCTCTTAGCTTCCTCTTTAAAAGCAATTTTATATCACATTTCCTAAAACAAGGTGGCCTGAATTATTAGTACTGCTAATATAAATAACTATATAGGGACAAAATACTTGGGGGAAAAAAAAAAGAACCTGTTAGGAATGCCAGCAAGTATGGGGACAGTGAGCTGGTAAGAGGAAAGAAATAAAACATGCATCATACCTAAAATATTTGGAATGCATACACACTTCATTTAGCTAGTAAGTACTCTAATTTAGCTAGTAAGTACTAAACTAAGGAGGATTCCATGCTTCACTGGGTTCAGTAATGATGGCAAATCCTTCATACAGTGTAGGAAAATGATCCCATTTGGTCTTGGCAACACCACTGGAAAAGATTAATCTTAAAATGTATACAAATGTTTCTTTTTTTAAATTTTGAAGCCATTAATTTATCAAAAGTGTACTAAGATTCTGAAATAAAATAACCCATGTTTATATTTCATATATATCTTCACACAGGCCACGTCCAGAAACTTCCTACACTGCAAAATACAGACTTGTAACCCAGGTGAACAATGCCAAACGTTGGACAAAACAATGTTTGGGTCTTCAGGTTTCTCTCAGTCATCCTCAGTAAAAGGCAGACAAACTGCAACACAGTTCTGAACATCTGTTGCTGTGAGCGTGCAGCTTCTTCACTGATAAGGTTCCCCAGAGTCAACATTACTAGTTAAAAAATGCATAATGCCTTTGACCCTTCTAAAAATATATATAAGTAGTACATCTCACCACAACTTTTAATTAGGAATCCCAACAGAAAGTTAACTCCAAGCTCAATACAGGACCTTCTTTGTACCTCTGCTTGCTTGCTGAGTCATTTCCAGAAAGGTTGGATCTTTGGCACTGAATTTGTATAACGGAGACTTCTCAAACGTGCTCTTATACAGACTTGTTCCCAAACCTCTGTTTTTTTCCCCATCCTTTCATGAATTTGACATAATATCTTGAGCAACAATCTAAGAATTATTGATAGGACAAATTCTAGGTCAATTCTGACCCTGCTTACCCTCTCATCCTCTTCATGTTAGCATCCTAAATGTTTGCATTTGCTCTTCTCTTATTACTCTGGTCCTCACGTGTTCCAACTTTGGAGGGGAGGGGAAGGGATTTTTTTTATTTTAAAATTTTTAAAAAGAGACAACTTCGCATAGATATTTCTGTCTGTAAAAGTAGTACTGACAAACTGGTAGTTTGGGGGATTAATGTTGTCTTAGCATCTTTCCAGTTTGGTCATTATTTATATCCTCTTGCTAAATTACTTACTCACTCTCTCCCGATAACATGCCCCTTTTTCACTAACGAGGGTAGGGATAATTACAAAATATAGCTGTAAGAAAAGAGACCCTCTGTACCATTTGGCTGTATGCCTGATGCAATATTTTGCACAGCTGTAAATACCCTTGCCTGCTACCAATGCTGCTCTTCATTTCTATTTATTATAAGCCAAAGTGGATCTCCACTTTATGACATAAAACAGGTCCGCATGCTGTCTCAGGCTGCTGTTTTGCTGGCACCTCTAGCTGGCTGCCTGATCGTAGGGCTTATGCAACAAAGGAGAGTCCAGAAATGTTTCCATCCCTCTCTGTTACCAAAATAAGGAATTTCACCCCAAGAATTACTTTGGCCTGAGGCCCAGAACAGGTAAAATTCAATCCTAGGTGAATGGTGTTTTTTCTACATATCAAGAAATGATTTAAAAGCTTCCCTAGTGAAACTACTGAGCTGAAAAAGGAATGAGATCTCTCTGAAGCATCCAACGCTCGTTCTTAACCCTTAGAGAACCCAGGAGAGCATTCTTCATAAATGTAACAGCATTCTAAGGTCATCTTAAGATTACACTAGTAATATCCATGACTTTTCATGATCCTACAGAATTGGATAAATGTAGTAAAGCATCTGCTATGTAGGTGGAGAAATAAAATTACCAAATAAGAAAAAAAAAATCCATAAATTATTTCTCTGTAAAAGGAAGGGAAGAGAGGCAAGAATTTATAGGGGATATCTTTTTATGAGACCCACTAATATTAAGATAAACCAAACACAGAATACAAAGAAACCATTTCCTATTTGGGTCAAAATGGATTTTTTTCCAGGTGGCTGAAGTAGCCTGAAGTCTGCTAGTTTCCTTAGAGCAGCAGCAGGGAACAGTTAGGTTTAACATTACTAACTTTTCATGGATTTAATAATGGGAGGGAAAAATCATTAGCTCTGCAATATGTAGACTACCTAGTGCAGAAAAGACAAAGCAGGCCAGTTTCCAGACTTATATTGCTAGAGTTTTACATTTATGAAAGTCAGCATTGTAAATCTATAGGAGCAGAGAGACTTAATAGTCAGAGAGCAAGCTTTCCTCTGTGGAAGACTCCAGTACTTCAACTCTGCTGTAATAGGAAAAGGGGAAGAAGAAGCTCAAAGATAGTACAGGTGTCCTCTTATTACAGAGGTGGTTGCACAAAATAGCCTCTTGAACTTGTAATGAACACATAATGTAACAGACTAGATGGTGGGCACAAAATTCCCTTTTTTCCATGTTAAATAAAGACACAATGAATTACCGTTTTTCATGGCTTACACGTTCTGTTTTGTTATAATACATGATTCCTTATAGTAAGTATTTTAAAGTTAATGGGATAAAAATGTTGAAGTCCACAGTATTGAAAACCAGTAGAAATTTAGATTTAGGAATACACTGAGATCTGTATATAAAGCACAAATCTTAGACCAAATCCATGCTACTATACCAGTTGAGGTTTCATACAGCTATGAGATAATCAAAAAGTATGGAATGAAATTTGTGAAGTACTTGCATATTACTCAATGCATATTTGTGTGCACTTCAGAATGTAAGGAGGTTTTACAAACACTTTAAGAGAAACTATTTTCTTTAGGATCCTGACAAATGTGATATTTAAGCAGAGGCATTAAGTACTTACCGCCACCAGCATTTGCTTCTCTGCGGCTACGTGCACTGCCATCTCTGCCAGATTTAATGCGCTGGAGAACAGTGAAAAAGGTTTGAAAAGAACAGAACAAAAACCCCATTTAGTAATATACATTAGAGATAATTATTGAAAACTCAACTTAGCTTATTAATAAAACAGTAAAAGAACATTAAACTAGGCTTGCTATACTGAAACTAATAAACCTTGTTTTTTCAATGCACAAAATTGTCCTTAAAATCAGGGTTAAATCCAATGTTTACATAAAACAAGAGTTCTATGAAATTCAAACAAACTATCTCAATAAATTATTTTTCTTCAGATAAAATTTATACAAGGAATATGCATAAAAATAGTTCAGATGTACGTTTGTAAAGTACAGCTGAAAAAACAGGCAACATAGCCCTCCTTGCACGAGTTCAAAGTAGCCTCTGCCTATTAACGTCTTGTAAATCCCACAAGCGTTTTATTATTGTAAAGATTCAAGGGGGGGAAGTAGGGAAATCTATAAAAAGAACTATTCACTCCATAGATCTTAAATTTTGAATACTTGGCACAACACTGTAGTTTACAGCAAAATTTAATTTGCTGTTGAGTGTTAAATGCAAGATAAAGGTGAAGGTAAATACTTTAAAAGCTGTGTTTAAAAAGTCAGCTCTCTTGCACTGAGGAAGGTACCATAAACATCTTCCAGCTGTGTTTTTTTTAGTGTTATTTGAAAACTTTAACAGTTTATCAAAGCAATACCTCTGTATCACATGGCAGACTTGGCTTCCCCTGGCAAAACACCAAATTTCTCATGCATCTATCTTGTCAATTACAAGAAGGTACATCTCAGTGAGGTAGGTACAAAAACTTGGTGTCCAAAGCACTCAGCTGTTAATAAAGTAATCTCTGCATCTTATTTCAAAATATGAATTCAGGATCTGATTAAAACACATGTGCACACTACCTAACCAGGTATTCAGGTCAATTACTGTAGCTTCTTCATTCATTTTTCACCAGAAAAACATCATGGAGTCTGGCAAAGTTGGGATACACAGTAGAAGTGAAAGAACTTTGAAGATTCATGCCAACAGAAAAAGGAAGAACCCTTAAATCAAAACTCATAGGAGTCAGACAGGAAAGCAGTGAGCCTAGCGTGAAACCAGGAATGGTCTTGGAGCGATCCAGTGTGGGACCAGAATTTCTCATACTTTTTATTTATTTTGGGAAATCCTCAAGTCTAAAATATGTTCTCTGAATTCTGGATTAAATATCCAATTCACAGTCCAGTGAAGTAGCATATATCAGTCCTCCAGGAGGCACGTTCAGACTCTCCAAATGTTGAATGACCGACAAGTCTGCCAGTGGAAGCTTAGCTTCTGTCTGCCAGAGGAAAGTGGTCCCTATACGACAGTGCCCTCGTGGCATTTACATCCTAGGACTTTACTCCTAAAATACTATAGAAGTACTACAGCTTAAGCATATGACTAATTCCTGTAAAGTTCCAAGCGAGTAGTTTATAAGTCATCCCATACTAAAAGCAGACATTTAAAATAAGTCCAATGATTTCCACCCTAAAAATGCCTATTTCTCTCCCATGACTGCAAAAGAAATTTAGGATGATTAGTCCAGATGTAGATGCCTGAAGGTAAAGGCAGTAAGTCCCCCCAGTGTTTGCACCTATCATCACGGCTTCACACCACACCCAATCAGTCCCTCATTTTCAGCCATTAAGCTCGCTTAACAGAAATAAATAGTAATGTGTGTATACATCAGTGCCAAGAAGGTTGTGTGAACTTTTACACTATTACCTGTCTTTTTTAAACTGAAACATGAAAAAGGAAGATTAACGCAGTAAAAAAAAACCCAAAAAACAAAAACCAAAATAAAAACCACAACATATGAAGGTTACAGTAAAAATCCAATCCTGTGAGATGAAGGGAGAAAAACTTCTACAGGGAATGAACCCCACAGATGTTCCCAGATTCTTGGCTGGAAGTATTTAACAACTTGTCTATATTTGAGAACCAAGTGAAATAAGTACTCCAGAATGTTTATTTTGGTATAAACTCCATGTGGATATACTTATTCTGGAAAAACAGTGCCAGAATAGCAAATTTTGACAAATTTCTACAGGAAGACAAAGTCTGCGCGCAGACTTTGAAATGTACGTATATCACACTAGCATTTATCTATTTTCTCTTTACTGAGTGCAATCGAGAAATCATGGGTTAGTCTGAAATTGGGAGCAGGAATTGAACTATATCTGGCATTGCTAACTGAAACCAGCGTTCCTGTTGGAAACTTAGGTGGCGAAACATTAAAATTTGATAATTTTAGAACTTGAAAGTATAGTTTATGACTATATGCTCATGGATGACAGAAGAAATTTCTTAGGACAAAAATACCTAGTGATTTCCAAAGCCAGATGGTAGACATAAGACTAAAAAACCACACACACACAAACCAACCAAGCAAACAAAAAAAATCCCCCAAGCCAGGGGATGGGAACCCAGATGCAATACCAATAGCAAAAAGGAACTGTAGGGCTATTGTTTGCAAGACAGAACTGATGTTGAGATTCTGTCACAGAAAAATACTCAACTTCTAATACAGGATGGCAGCATACTAAATCGCAGTGTGTTCTGTAACGTCTTTTTTTTCTTAGTGTCTTTGTCCCTTTACTTCTACAACGGTGTTGATTTTTAAGAAAACTGGGTCGGTGGGTTCCTTGGTGGACAGAAAAAGTTGCTCCTTTCCTTGCGGAGACACTGAACTTGGGAGACTTCAGAGCGTGGCGGACGAAAGCCAGAAGAGATGGGAGATGGGAGCATGTTCCCCCACAACGAGGAGCTGCAAGAAGGAGCAGAAAGCAACCGACTGGGCTTCAGAGGTTCTGAAGAGAATGTACTAGGAACCACAGGGGCAGGATTCTGCTGCCATTCAGAAACTCACTGAGCTTACTCAAACAGGCTGGAAGCATGGGCCTGCCTGCAGGGATGAGGCTGACAGAGCTGACTAGAAACCTGGCTTATATTTCTATTGGTGGTGGTGGTTTGGGGGGGCAGGGGGCGTTGTTTTGTTTTGGGTTTCTTTGGTTTTTTTTAAACCTACTGCATTTCAGTTTTCTCTGCTCGAAAGAAAATTGGTTTAGTTTAAATTATAATAGAATCAGGCTTATTTTTATTTAAAAACCCATCTTCTTTTCTGGGCAACATGCTATAGGAAAGTATTTAGGCAGATCTACCTTAAAGCTTTGACTAATTAGAAGTGCCATCATAGACACCTTATTCTCCCCTCTACTCCACTCTCATGAGACCCCACCTCATCCAGATCCAGTACTGCATCCAGATCTGGGGCCCTCAATACAAGAAAGACATGGACCTGTCGGAGCAGGTCCAGAGGAGGGCCATGAAATTGATCCGAGGGCTGGAACACCTCTCCTATGAGGACAGGCTGACAGAGCTGGGGTTGTTCAGCCTGGAGAAGAGAAGGCTCTGGGGAGACCTTATTGCGGCCTTTCAATACTTAAAGGGGGCTTATAAGAAAGATGGGGACAGACTTTTTACCAGGGCCAGTAGTGACAGTACAAGGGGAAACAGTTTGAAACTGAAAGAGGGTAGACTTAGATTGGATGTAAGAAAGGCATTTTTTACAATGAGGATGGTGACGCTGGAACAGGTTGACCAGAGAAGCCGTGGATGCCCCATCATTAGAAGTGTTCAAGGTCAGGTTGGACGGGGCTTTGAGTAACCGGATCCAGTGAGAGATGTCCCTGCCCATGGCAGGGGGGGCAGATTAGATGATCTTTAAAGGTCCCTTCCAACCCAAACCATTCCATGATTCTGCTTTGTAAGGTTATTTTTGCGACAGGATAGAGTCACCAGACTCTTAAACAGGAATACTTAAAATACACAGAGTGAGCTTTCCATGTCATGGCTGAATCATGATCACTATTTAAGTCTGAACAGTCTAAAACAACCATACAATAACTTGTGCTACCATGCATCTGTACTGGATTCCATTGATATCTCTGTCATTCAGGTACTACTTAATAAAGTCCCTTAACACAATGTAGTCAGAATGAAAAAAAAAAAAACAAAAAAACCCACAACGTAATTTAAACATAAATTTCTGTGTTACTAAAATCTTAAATAACTTAGACTATTTCATCTTTTAAATATTTTACTGGTAACCTTTTTCCCACCAGAAAGTACAGAAATGTGTTTAGGAAAGCTCAGGCTTCCAACATTCCAAACAGGAATAGATGTGACAACTTTTTTTTTTTTTTTAACATACGCAAACATTAATTTTCTTAAAGGAAAAACATATTTTCCTTAGAATCCTCCACATTTGCAGATCTGTGGTACATAATTAACACCTTCAGTGTAAAAAATGCTGGAATTATATGCAAGGAAATAGATAACCTCTCCATCTCCAGGGACCTCTCTCTTACCAACTGTAAAATAATCCAGTTTTAACTGGTTTAATCTCTGAGCTTTCTTGAGTAAAGCACTGAGTTATTGTGAAGAACTATGTATATCACTGACATTGAACTGATACTCCCTAGAAACTAAGCAAAGCCTGTTTAACCTACTTCAGACAGATCTCTTAATTATGAGTTTTGCAGAATAGGAACATTATATCTGGTCAGCCGTTTTGCTTACTGATACCATTAAGGGGGAGACATAGAGGAATATTAGCTCCACTACATTTGTGGACTGCTTTCTTTTGTCCATTTTCCCAAGTGCTATAAATTTTACATTTACTGAAAATCCAAACCAATATACTTCAACTAGCACCCCAAAGTAAGGTTGTAGCATAACTTTGATCAGTGTTTCCCTTTGTGAGTTTCGTTTTTAAAATGTCCCAATGTACATGTGCACACTCAGACTCGCTGGAATTGAAGTAAAAGTGAAGTAACTCAGGATGCATTTACACATTATCTGAAACCAAAAGGGAGCCAGTACGTGTTACTAGGAGCAGAGTAAATTAGGTAAGACTTAACGTGTCCTAAAATGTGACTATGTAGCTTTGAGGCAGTTCACTGGATAGGAAGAGCAAGCTTGAACACTTTGCAGCTCAACAGCACGGATAATGCTTTCCAAACAAGATGCTGATTTGAATTTTAAAATCTTACTTTATCACAGGAATAGCAAGAAAACAATGCACGCATGTGCACACGCACACACGCTCACTCGTCTGAATAGAACGCAAGTTATGATCTCATACCTTTCACAGCCTGTAGCTTTTCCATGGAATTTTTTTTTCAGTTTAAAAATTGGCACTAACATGAATAATTTAGTTCTACCTATGTAATCTGTCAATGTTGCAGCTTTGTATACAGCAAAAAGGAGTTCTAGTACATGGACAAATTCTTAGGCTCACCTTCTCTCCCTACAGTTGCATTATTACTTGGCTTATAAATACACTTCATACAGTCTGGCAAATAAGTAGGAAAGACAACATTCCAGAGACATTGAATTATGCGGGTGGCTCCAGCATTCCCATCACATCCACATAACCCATCTTTCACTAGTATTTAAAAATCACAGAAAATCCAGTGCTCAAAAACCATTCAGACAGATATAAGGCTGATCGGTAATTTAAAACTAAAAACCAAAAAAACACAAAACACAAGCCTCTCTAAACCAGGAAGTTAATACATGTTTTATCTTGAAGTATCATAAACTCTATTTTAGCTTCATCTATGTACACAGTAATACTGTATAATCACAGAAAGAAACAAGCTTACCTGCTCTCTTATTTCTTTTAATTTTTCCACTTTCTTGAGCTTTGTCATATATTCCTGGACTTCCTTCAGCCCCATATCTGTGCAGAGACGAACTAAAAATCGGAGGCCTAATTGAAAAGCAAAACATTGTTAAAAAAAGGCTTACAAGCAGGTCAAACTGCAAGTACACCCTAACAGAACTGGACATACGGAATAGCAAACAATGCAAATAACTGGAAATACAAGGTGGCTCTAGTCCAGTATCACTATGCAAGTTGTGATATTTTGCAAATAATTCAACATGTTCTGTGATGCAGTGTCTACATCCATGAACAGTACAAACACCATTTATATATGTGGAAGGCACAAGACACACTGACTCATCTGGCTCAGAACTCTTCACATTTGCAAAATATTTTGGAAACTGGAAAGCATAATAATGATACTAAATTATTACCAAGAAGCCACCATCAATAGCATCTTGTTGAAAACAATTTTACAAATTCCAAATGAATCAGAATGGTTTGGTTTTTTCTGTTGCTGTGGTTGATTTTTTAAAGATTCGTATTTATAGAATTAAAAAAAAAACAAACAAACAAACAGCAAACCAGACGTGAAGATTGGCTATAACTGTATGATGGAACCAAAAGAACCCCTAAAAACAGTCTCCTGAGACACTATACCAAACTCTGAAAACATTGTTGCTATTCCTATGTTTGTCAACATCCCTTTGAAAGAACTGCCTCTGAAACAGAAACAAGCATGACATGATCCATTACCCTCCTGACTGCTTTCACAAATAAGTTATTTTCTTTTTGTGCTAAGTTAGTTTTCTGCTGGTTTAGGGAGCTGAACTTGTTCACTGAGGGATCATATAAGCATCAGAACGAGCATAAGTAAGATGGCTGGGAGCACGTGGCCAGGGAGGGATGAGTGAAGAACCATTGTTTCAGCAGCAGTAAACTTTTAAATCAGTTCAATTGTCTTGTCTAACTCCTGCCTCTGTTTCATAATCTACAGAAACTACATTCAGAAAAATATTAGCATTCTAAAAAGTTTACTAAATACTCTACCCCTCTGAAATGCGTGACCAATATCAACATGATATTTTGCTTATAACTTTGAGGAGCCATAGTATTGAATTCTTCTTGTACAACAGAGCTGTATGATTTCTCTTGTACATCAGATCTGTATGAGTCCTCTTTAAAAAAGCAGTATGTTTGTTAAAGCAGAACAATACAATTTTATTTTAAAATACAGTGAATGTTCTTCCCACATAGCATTTAAAAGCGTAGGCTTGTTGGCAACAACCTCGTATTTTGGAATTAGAGAGGCACAGTGTGGGATGTAAGAGGATGTTTGCACAATCAGTGACAACCCCTATTTTCTACAGGGCTTTTTCATTTAGAGTACAGGTGTGCCTGATTCTGCAAAATGTCTTACTCTTCAAAGTTATGTTTCCTGTAGTTTAGTTTGAAATTCTCTACGGATTTTCTAGAGACTGGTTGACCAACTATACTTAAAAACCCAACAACAAAATCTCACCCTCTACATTCTTTTGGAAGGCCTGGCTTTGGTAAAACTTAACAATAATATTTTCTTGTATCTAGAAATTTACAACAGGAGTTTCAACTAGCAGGGACTAGAAGTAAAAATATATATACTTTATCATAAGAAAGATTAAATAAGTAACATACTTATAAAATTTAGAAAGTATGTATGAGAAAGAACTCAACCAATCCGCTACAGGTAAAGTTTATTTTCATCTCTCTTCTTCAGCATTACCCTCATATTTCCTAAATCACGCTTTAGTGTTGTCAAGAAACCATGCAGCATTAGCATGAGCAAAAATGTTAGTTCGTTAAAGTATTTTCATATGAAAAATACTTACATCATACAATTACTAACACACATATTCAATGTAACAAAGTTTCCTTGGATAGTTGTACCACTCAATGAAAAAAAACTTACATTCAACATTCTCTGGGAATTTTCTGTGAATTACTTTGTATTTCTCTAGAGCTTTCTGGTAGTTACCTGCAAACAAAACAAACATCTCCTATCCACATATCCAAACATAAAAAAGAATATCTGATGAGAAACTAATACAGTTTAACATCACTTCATCTTTTTAGTTTGAGTACATGATTTAATGTAAGATCAAATTTGATAAAACCAAACTTAACATTCTTTAATTACTGACAGTAAAAATTAAGAGCATCTGAAAACAGTACAAATTACTCTGCAAATAACAGCATTAATTAAGAGGAGCTTCCTGATTTTTTCCCTTTTTTGACCTGCATCTAGGACCCCATTGTTCTATGACACATCTACTAGACAAGCTGTATCAAGCATACCAAGGCTTATCTGAGGCTGCAAATGTATGGACTGGTCAAATAGAAATGTGTAAGAGCTGAGCTCTGCCTACCCTTCCCTCCATCAGAATGCTGTGTGTCTCTCCTTTGCCCAGATCTGGTAGCAAACTAATTATTCTTTAAGACTTTTGCCTTCAATTTTGGCTCAGCTTGATTATTATGGAAAGGACTGATAGACCCTGTGAATCTAAAACCTCATATCCATAATATATCTTACAAAAAAGTTTGTTGAGATCACTATTTTTATTTTCCTAGTGTGACGTAGAGATCTAACTGACCTGCTATGTGTTAACACGATAAGCTGGGAATTTTGCTAATGAATCATAAATGCTCTATAAAGCAGTCAAAACCATTGTGTTTCTTTGCTGGGAAAACAGTTAATCTCTCTAGTTTTGGGTGGTGCTGACTGTTCTTAATTCACTGACTTTCCTAGGTCCTGTTCCTTTTCTCACTGATGTATTAAATAACTGAGCAGAGTGAGAAAATGCACTTATTTATAATGGAAGGCTGTTCTGCAAAATTCTAAAGAAACATAAAGGAAAGTGACAAAATGGGACAGCAAGAAAGAAGAGTATCATTTACATCACGAAGTGCCTTGAATGCATTTTAGGTGATGAAAAAACCCAGAAAGATTAGTCCTGTCCATCGTGCTTATTGGCATATTATATTCCCAGTAAGAAAATACAGCACATTAAGACTCTCTTGTTTGTGTAATGCAAATACTATTTTAATATCAAAAAATTATACCTGCTGTAGAAAAGGAATTGGAATTAAGCAACTTTAAAATCTAATTACTTATGTTAATCAGATGGTAGTATAATTACATAAAAAACCCTTCTATTAGATCATTTATGCTGTAGTATCATCTTTATTTTACTTATTTAACAGCATAAGGAGTGTTTAATGCATAAGTCAGTGCAGGTACACTTCCTGGACTTAAAAGAAAAGTCATGTTTTATTATATATACACAGAAAATTCATAACAAAATAATATGTAACTGAATTTTCAAGAAAACTTGATGAGTTTCAAGGTTTGGTTTTTTTTTTTCAAGTGAACTTTCAGTTCAAGCAAACTAGGACCAGTATTCACATGAGGTAAAAAAGATCAAAAGAAAAAAAAAAATCAAAACATCAATCAAAATAAAACAAATCATAGAATGGTTTGGGTTGGAAGGGACCTTTAAAGATCATCTAGTCCACCCCCCTGCCATGGGCAGGGACATCTCTCACTGGATCCGGTTGTTCAAAGCCCCGTCCAGCCTGACCTTGAACACTTCTAATGATGGGGCATCCACAGCTTCTCTGGGCAACCTGTTCCAGTGTCACCACCCTCATTGTAAAAAATTTCTTCCTTATGTCCAATCTAAGTCTACGGTGGTTCAGCCCCGTCCAGCCTGACCTTGAACACTTCTAATGATGGGGCATCCACAGCTTCTCTGGGCAACCTGTTCCAGTGTCACCACCCTCATTGTAAAAAATTTCTTCCTTATGTCCAATCTAAGTCTACCCTCTTTCAGTTTCAAACTGTTGCCCCTTGTCCTGTCACTACAGGCTCTGGTAAAAAGTCTCTCTCCACCTTTCTTATAAGCCCCCTTTATATACTCTCCAGGCTTCTCTTCATCAGGCTGAACAACCCCAACTAATTACAAAAAACATTACAAACCTCCAACCAATTACAAAAAAAGTTACAGAACTTACCGCTTCTCCTGTAGCAACTGGCAACCATCAGCTGCCACTTCACTTGTGTCGGTCTGCATATAAATAAAATAAAATTATGCACACTGCCAAACAATGAATAAGCAAAATAATCTGCGTAGCATTGGTAAGCACCTACTATTAAACTACTCTTAAAATTTTTCACCTGGCATATTGCCTTCCTAGGAAGAATTTAGCCTGTTCAGTTCACACACAGTTTACCCCTGCGTCATGCTCCTGTGTTCAGGCCTCGATGTCACTCACTTGTAGTCCTATACTATAGTCTTTCTCCTGCTCGTGATCCTGTGCACCAGACACAATTAGTAGACCTGACATGTGAACCGCTAATCTTCGTCTGAGGTACAGAACCACGCGATGAGGGAGAACAAAATGCTGAACTGTATTCCAAGGAAGTCCCACCAGCAGGGTCCCAAGCGTGCCCAAGGGATCCCTGCCAGGAAGCACACTCCCTGCTTACAGCTTCAAACTCTGGCTTCTCCTCTGTGTCATCATCTCGATGCCCTAGCTGCTACCTGTCCTTCTCTTTTTACCACATAATGGTGATAGATATGGTCAGGGAAAATATTTGAGATGTTTGAGCATGTACAACAAACCTCTTGGACTCTTTCCTCATTCTTATCAAGATAGTGTGGAAATTTGGAAATTTTCATGGCAACAGCATATGGATGCTCTATAAGCCAAAGCACTTTTCACGTGGCTTACAATTCAACAGTAGCATATCCCAAAGGCACTGTATGCTAACATTTTCAGAATAGTTTTGATTCCTCTTCAGTTTTTCCCTCCAGTCACAGCACAGGCCATTTTTAACTCTAAATAATCTGTTTGCCTGGTAGTTGCCAAACAAGCTTATGAAAGACAGCTGCTTCACCTTTTTTAGTTTCAGCTGAACACATCTCCTGCAAACAATAAAGGCAGCCAAGCAGACACCATAATAAAGTTTATTACGCAGTTCAGTATGAAAATTCTAGAGAGAATAAATTGTCAGCAGCCAGCATTAGCTGCACAACTCCTTTTATTAATGACATATTTGTGCATGCTAGTAAAATGTAAAATAATGAAAAACTGTTTCTCAATTCATTGTCTAACATGTTATCTTAGAATGCAATTTAAAATGTAATTATTGTCATTAAAACAATACACTAAACTGTTAAACTAAAAAGTGCTGGTCACAGTTAAAATAAAGCTATAACTTTAAAATGTAACTTTATTTACAATTAGTAGCAATATATAACCCAACATTCATATTAATTAATTAGCATATCTAGCCTCTATTTTTAATACCAAATAAATACCAAAACATCTATGTTCTGTTATCTACTATTAACAATCTCATCCCACAGAAATAGTTTCTCTGTATTACAGATAGATTACAATTGCAAATAATACTGAAGAATTTCATATGCCAATTATTGAAAAGTACTTTACAATCCACATACTTCATGTTTTTTGCATGGACTGAGTGCAACATGAAGCATAAAATATTTAGATTTTTGCCAAAACAAGATTATGAAATAATTCTTTTTAGTTTCAGCTGTTTCTTTCCAAGTTTCTAAGAAGGCTGTGACCGCCAGCACATGCAATCTCATAGCTTGATTAAAATACAATTTTTTAAGGTGGCCAGTATTTATACTGAAAAGAATACTGGCAAACCTGTGAACTGTGATTTATGTGAACTGTCTCCTGTGTATTTTCATCTAATCTACATCTCTATTTCTTTATGATTATACCAAATTTGGGTGAAGTCTAAGTTTTTTAATTTATTTTGTTTCAATCTTTAATCCTTATTTAAACCTCGGATTTTCTCTTCTATAGTTAAGTCTCCTCTAACTCAAGCCCCTTCAAAAACAGAATTAGTATTTTTTTGCTGAACTTCTAACCACCTATTCACAGTATAATCTTTCCTTGAATAATATTGTACAAAATTTTGTTCACGTGCTGTCTTGTTCATGCAAATCATTCAGATTCACAGAACAAAAAGAATGCAAATTTTAATCATCACCAGACAAGCAATAATTGAGTTTTGCTTAGCCTGATTTTTGATAGGTTTCCCCAAACACAAAATAGAGAAATTCACGCTGGTTGGTGTGAATTTTAGTTGGTCTATTAACACAAAATTCTTCATGAACATATAGACAAATATTTGTTTTCCAAAGAAAAGACCAGATGCATGTTTTTTAAGAATTCTGTTTGAACTCTGGGCTACAGATTTAAATTTTACCAAATTTTTGTTTATTAACCATTTGTCTGGTAAGCTCCCTTTCTGATCTAAAATAAAATATATGGCCTATATACTTTAAGTGCATCATATTCTGCTAAAGGACAATTTCAGCAATTAAGTTGCTGAACTAAACTCAATATATTTCAAATATCTCTATCAGGATCAATTTGATCCGTCAACTTATTTTCACTAACCATTGGTAATTCTGCACTGCATGTTTTTGCTTACTTCTATATTTTATTTGTAATAGACTTTTTATGGGAGTTGAAGTTATGTGAAAAGTGGAAATGCAGCAAGAACTGATAAAAGATGCATTTATCTAAACCATCAAATCCACACCGCATGAAAATATAACAGAAAGGATGTATTTCACATAAAGCCATACAGAAGGAGGTCTTGGTGGCTTAGGAGAACTGTTCCCCGCTTCACAGCTGTGTGAAAAGAGATTCTAATACCTAAAGAAAAGAGATTCTAATACCTAATACTATCTTAGGCCCAATGGAGGATCTTACTTAACATTGAAATTGCACAGTACGAGCAAAAACACACTGTAAACACACAAAAAGTTGAGAAAATTAAATAATACCCCAAATATTAACAACTCTGATCAGACAAGCAATAATTGAGTTTTGCTTAGCCTGATTTTTGATAGGTTTCCCCAAACACAAAATAGAGAAATTCACGCTGGTTGGTGTGAATTTTAGTTGGTCTATTAACACAAAATTCTTCATGAACATATAGACAAATATTTGTTTCCAAAGAAAAGACAGATGCATGTTTTTTTAGAATTCTGTTTGAACTCTGGGCTACAGATTTAAATTTTACCAAATTTTTGTTTATTAACCATTTGTCTGGTAAGCTCCCTTTCTGATCTAAAATAAAATATATGGCCTATATACTTTAAGTGCATCATATTCTGCTAAAGGACAATTTCAGCAATTAAGTTGCTGAACTAAACTCAATATATTTCAAATATCTCTATCAGGATCAATTTGATCCGTCAACTTATTTTCACTAACCATTGGTAATTCTGCACTGCATGTTTTTGCTTACTTCTATATTTTATTTGTAATAGACTTTTTATGGGAGTTGAAGTTATGTGAAAAGTGGAAATGCAGCAAGAACTGATAAAAGATGCATTTATCTAAACCATCAAATCCACACCGCATGAAAATATAACAGAAAGGATGTATTTCACATAAAGCCATACAGAAGGAGGTCTTGGTGGCTTAGGAGAACTGTTCCCCGCTTCACAGCTGTGTGAAAAGAGATTCTAATACCTAAAGAAAAGAGATTCTAATACCTAATACTATCTTAGGCCCAATGGAGGATCTTACTTAACATTGAAATTGCACAGTACGAGCAAAAACACACTGTAAACACACAGAAAGTTGAGAAAATTAAATAATACCCCAAATATTAACAACTCTGATATTTGCTTATACTATTAAAGTCATCCAACTAATTTATCTCTAGGTATACTTATGGATGTCCAATCACAAAATATTTGAGTAGGCATAAAATAATAATTACTTACAGGATAAGTGCTGCTCTTTCAAAGTACTCAATGGCTTTTTCACAAAACTGAGTGTCAATGTAATAGGCTCCAAGCCATTCAATGACCTCAATGTTTGAAGGGAAATACCGGTACGACTGACAAAATAGGAAAGGTGACAGAAACACAATTTTAGTGATAAACAACATCTTTATGTTACTTCTGGAATATCTTACTCAAGTGTTTAATTCTCCAGATGCCAAAAACGTGTAATATATGAATGGAAGTAGTGTACTATACCAAGTAATCCTGAAAAAAAAAAAAAGAAAAAGGCATGCCAAGTTTTCTAATTACAGAATGCTTTTTAGAAGTTACCTGAGATGAGTCTGTCACATTTTCCATCTAGCCTTATTCAAAATATTATTTTAAATAGTTTGCAACAGCAAAAATGTTTACTTAGATCATGTCCACATGTGAATAAGGTACCTAAAACATTAAACAATGCTAACCAATACATATACAACTCCACACTCAAATCAGTCTGCTGGAAAACTCACCTAAAAGCATTCTTTTCTATGAAATACATATGTACATAAATAACATTTTTGGCTTTTTAGAAATTCCCACTGAAACAGGCAGCACAATTATCATCCAGCACAGCTCCACTAGTATTCAGATTGCAACACAGCCTTTGATCATCCTCACTTTACAGAGGAAAAAAACTCTCAGATTGCAGCAAAGCAACTTCCTGTCTTATTCCTGTTTCTAAAACACAGGAATCTCTACAAACTACAGACAGTACTATACCTGGTTTGAAATGAGAGAAGATGCCTATCTTTAGACAACTGTCTATACATAATGTGTAGCTGTATCATTAAAATACATATATAAACTTAAATAAACGCAAACACATTATATATATTTGTCCATATCCATTATCCAGATATAGCTTCCAATCAATGCAGTCATGTTACACATCTTTAAAATTACATTTATTATATCCATTTTTTATTTCATCTCAGACTATACTCTAAATTAAAATTGTTAGGGGTCAATGTAAACGACGACCATATGAAAAATGAAAGTCTGAGGTCAAATACCCTGTGGAAAGACAGGCTATGTGTTTCCTTTGGATCTGACTAAAAAAAAAAAAAATGAGATTTTGTCAACTCTCTCTCCCCCCAAATCTTTTTTCTTTTTTTTGACTTTTTAAAAAGTTTAAGTGAATCAATTGTTAATTTCATATAGGAACCTATGACAAAATTTTCTTTAATTATGACAAAGTGCATTGGAAAAGCAATAAAGAGCAAGTACCTCATAGTAATAATGAAAAGCCTGGGATTTATCACCTTCATTATCATATAATTTCCCTAGCTTTGAAAGTACATGTGGATCAGTTGGTACTATACTGATCAACTGCAGGAGCCACTCTATGGCTTGACTGGGATCTTCCATGATCTCATATCTGCGTTTTCTTCAGTCAAGGACTGACACTGATGATATTTTGATTTCCTCAGAATTCCTACTATATTACATAATGTAATCCATATGCTGGACAGATATGCCAGTCACTGCAGTGCGGAGATACACTGGGATTTTTTACACATTGTTTTCATAATTTCATTTGTATCAGAAAGTATTTTTGTTAAGCTGAAGAATGAGAAATATTCAGAGGCTTTGGCTGCTCATTTACCATAAAAACACTTCGGGCTCAACAGAACTTTGGGCTCGGTTCTCCTCTCTCTCTGTCACTTATTTTACTTTGACTTCCTCATTTATAGGAATGAAATGTTAGAACCAGGCGATTTATTTGTAGCCTTTACAACTTGGTTAGTTTTTTGTAATACATCATTTGTGCTAAAGTAAGTGATTAAGTAAAACTGCTATCCTCAAGAACAGACTTTTGCTCGCAGTGAGATTTTCTGCTGAATGTCTAAGAAGCACAGCACAGACAGCATATGATTATGGTCCAGAGAGCAGAGGCAGCTTTAGCTGTAATTAGGCCTGTAGTGTGCTCTCCCCCCCCAGTCACCCCGAGTGGCACAACAGCTCAGACCTCTGCAGCAATGTGAGGTGAAGCTACTGCCCAACATGTTTTTTCAGTTTCTGCTGCACCCTACCCTTCATGGAAAAAGCTTGTGAGTGTTGGTGGAAAGCAGTTTTACATAGCAGTGGAGCGGAGAAATTCACCCTCAAATGAGAACTGGGAGTTGTAGGGCCATTTATGCTGTTGTAAAGGGGCTACGCAAGGAATAGAGATCACAGCCCTTCTGTATTTTTGGAGGTTACTTATTTTACTGACTAAAATATATTTTTATTACCTTCACTATTCTTAAAAGTCTAGTACAGCAACTGGAATCTGTTCTGCCTTGGGGAGGATTTTTCTACAGTTTGCACATCCTCAGAAGCATTGTTAAAGAAATTCATAGTGTAGAATATCACTGGTGATGTGCAAAGCCAACCCTTCCCCTCCTCAGCTTTTCAATCTGTTGAGTTTTTGCAGGGCTGGGAGACAATTATTTTCTTACACACACACACACACTAACTAATCTGAAAACAGCTTTCAGAACACAACTTCCTTTTCATTAGCTATATTATTTTTTTCTTAAAGGTTTTACTCAATTGTGCTCACATCTGCCACATTATTTTCATAATAAAATCAGCAGCACTTTAAATATTCCAGGACACACTTTAATACTGAGCGTAAATGTATTCCCTGCAACGTGAACAGTCTTAATGTATTTCTTCACTTGCTTCACTGGAAATGTCCAAGAAGGTTGTAAATTCTGTTCTCGTTTTTAAAAACGACAGAGAATGAATCTATGCATGACCATCCTAATTATAAGGGACACTACAGTAAACTTCTAAGTCATCATGTCATGACTGAAACACATATTTCAGATTTAATGAGTTTACTAAAAGCACCATCCCTTATCATAATCCAGAAAAAAGATACATGTTTGCTATCTGGTGAAGGACTTGGGCACTATTTCGAAGGATTGCATGGAGTTTCAGAAAACAATCCAAAGCTTCATCTATTCTGTTTAACTTCTTGTATGTTAAACCTAAAAAATAAAGGTTACAGTATTAATGCAATGATAAAAAGATGACTTCAGCATATTAACTGACAGAATAACCAAGAAAAATGAAATAGGAACACGGTACTCAGAGGCAGTGTAATTGCCTTGACATTGAGGGACTCTATTCTTGAGAGCCATGGTTCTAATTCTTAGCAGCTAGTATGACTTACCAAACTGATAAACACAAGGAACACGAACCTAATCAAAGACCAAGAACATATGTAATCTCACTTTTTGAACAAGATGAATGAGGGAAAGGGAGGGCTTTTAGAGGGGAACGACTCTGATGGTTTAATAATGCTAAAACTGGTATATTTTTAGTAGATAGAAATTTTTATCTTCAAAGTGACTTAATCATCTGCAATTACTAGTTGATGTTGTTAACACTGATTTTTTTTTTGCAGAACAGATAGGACATACAAATTAATACCTTGCTATAACATAAATTACTGAATAAAGTAATAATAATTAGTATATATTTCTATACAAGAAAACTTTGAAAGCCAGATTCTCAGAAACACTAGTGTTACCTTTAGACAAAAGCTAAATCACAAAAGCACCTTTGGCTTACCAAGATTATAAAGTGCTTCAGTGCATGAGGAATCATTCCTGAGAGCTTCCTTATAAAACTCAGCTGCTTTTTCATAGTCTCCATTTGCAAAAACAGTATTTCCTTTGTTAGTTAGAGCTGCTGGATTGTACCTATCAGAATTTACAGCTAAATCTGCATAGTTAGTTGCTTGTGTCAATTCATTCTCCTACAGGAACAAAACAAACATTGTATTAGTCATTTGTCAGTCAATTTTCTTGCAGCTGTGGCTTCTTACAGTTGATATAGTGGAATTTTGAAAGACTGAGGATGAAAAAAAATAACACATTCTTTAGTCCTAAAATATTCATTATGTATTTGCATAAGACAGATCATCTCTTTCAAGTTTCAGAGAACTTAACACTTGAGATGTCTTTTGCCACTCTGTCCCATTCAGTCTGGAAGTTTTCTGTGTTGCAACAAAGCAGTATTTCTTTAAAAAACAAAAATAAATCCCCGTACCCTACAAACTTCATGCACAAACACACCTGCCTAAGCTGCATACTTCACATGTTCCTGAAGTTCAGCCAGGGTCTTCAGGACCTGAGTTTTAAATGCAGCTGCTGAGCTTCTGCACAGATCACACTGCAGGCATACTTCTGCGGCTGGGACTCAATCTCACTCTTCCTCCCAGCAACAGGATACAAAGGACATGCTCCAAACTTCAACTACAGCCAAGAACACGTGTTCCAGAATAACTCCTCAAACATGCAGTTTCTTGTTGTTTACAGAGATTATTTAGACAGACACAAAAACTGCTACAAAGATACAGAAGTTGCTACATAAACTGCAGTTCTTAACTGGTTTTGTTGAAGCAAACACTTACCAAATAATAAAGGAATGAAAGGTTTGTTGCAGCTGCACTCTTTACTCTGCTATCCTTTTTTTCAAACATTTTTAAAGTTTCCAGTGCCTAGAGGTAATTTGGAAACAACTTATTTCCCACTGAAGCAAACTTATACCAAACTTCTTTCAGAAAGCATTGATAAACTTCACAGTAACAAACAGACAAAATTATCAACTCATACACATGATAATTACTACAGCTTGTAACACACACTTGTAAGCATGTACACAGAGAAATAGATCTATATTATACATAATATTAATCGTGGTCATGAAATTTCAATAGTATTGGCTATTTATTACTTCTTCAAAATTTAGATGAGATATGGCTACCTTGAAGTACACAGGTATCTGATAATTCTATACATACAAAAAACAAGTTTATATTATTTGCTTTTAATCTAGTCAACTAATTAAAATTCTCATACCTATTTTTCCAGTTCTTTAAGTGAACACAAAAGGACTGACATGAAAACTTTTATTAAAAAGCTAAAAAAGTACACACTATATTAAAAAATATGCAAAACAGTGTAGGATTGGATTTCAACTTGCAGTTGTTTTGTGTAATAAGACGACGACACCTGTCTAAGTTTAGGAAGTACTCAAGACTGAAGACTGAGGCTAGAAGATTTTTTCTTTTAATCTTTCACATAAAAACTAAATTTCATAAACTTCAAAATAAGGAAATTTATGGACAAAAAGTAAACAAGTTTATAGCTAATAAACTATCAAAGAAACTTTGAAATAAAAGGCAGGGTTTTTTTTTCCATTGACTATGTGATAACATTTGTAACTGCAGACTAAATTATTAAGAAAATCTGGCTTCTTTACACTAAATATTTATATTAACTACACAAACTGTTAGAGTATCACCGTGAGCCCAGTTCCGTCATCTCTTACAACAGAGATCTGGCAACCTCAATTTAGCCATCAACATTAGCAATTCAAAAGTCTCCTTCTTCCTTTAGGTGAAACCTACAAGCTGCTGTTTACGTATCAAAGTGAATGCATGATACTGTATGTGGAATGCCAAAACAAACATAAAGGAAACAAGTTGTAATTGACTGTCATATATACTGTTTTTACAGTTACTTTACACAAAAAAACATGACTGTAGTAATGATGCGTAAATGACAAAGTATGTACAGCTAGATGTAGTACATTGATTTAGTCAACTACATTCCACCCAAGAACTATCAACTACTAAAGATTGTAATATTCTCCTAATAATAGAAAATTCTCTAAAGAAATACACCAATTTCGATCAAGAAAAGCATTTTAAAGGTCAGGATTTAGATTTTGTGGTCTCTGACATGTAAGACTTCAACTGTGATAATTTTAAACTTATACATATATTTGTGATTTGCTCCAAAAATGGAACGGTCCCAAATATTTACAGATGTAACACTACTATATCTGAGGTACTCTACTCTTAAGCAAAGACTTGCTTCTTCAAGTAAAAGCTGTGCATTACTTACAATGGAACTAATTTTTAGTAAACTTAAAGCTGTATAGTTCAAAGTCACTTTCTGAAAAGCCATTTTCCATTGTAGCTGATTTGTTTATCTTTGCTTTTACTGCTAAATGGTACCTTTGACGATACAAATTAGTCTGGAAGTAATCTCTTTTTCATGTATCATGAAAAGTTCATATGACTCTGAACTCTATGAATTTACTGGTAAATTATGTTGCAAGTCTCTTGAACCATTTCAGCATTATGAGCCCTAGGATGAAAATGCATAGCAATGCTCCTTTTGTCCTTGCAAAGTAGAAATGCTCTCACTGTATCATCAGCTAAGTTTATATATTTCTAAATAACTTCTAACTTTTTAATCCCAACAATAATGATTACTTAAATTCAACAATCAAAACTATTCTTTGTGACATGTTTCCAATGTACCTGAATTATTTGCTTACAGAAGTTAAACTTCAAAGCAGCGTGCCTGACCCAAACAGGGTCTGCCAGAGATGTTAAGGAGTTGCATGGCTAACCTGCAGAATTTTCTTTTTAAATTAATTTTCAAAGTTTTTCTTTGAAATTAAGAAAACATTCAAACTATGTAATACACAAAACCCCTTACTAAGAAAATACAGTCTAGACATATTACGGTAATTTCCACCCTGAATTTTTTTTTTGCTAGGACTGTTTTTAAATAACATATTCATTATCATGAGTACATAGTTAAGCCCATTATAGTGACAGCAGAAATCTATTTCAGTTCTTTTTTGAAACACAATAAAACTTGCAGCCTTGAAACTGAATATTTCAAAAAGTTTCCATTCTTGTCCTTCAGCCAAAGGTGTGTTGAGCAGGTGGTGAGTTAGTAAGTATATGACGAACAGACAGACAGGATGAATATAAGTGGCAGCTGCAGTTTTATTAGAACAAAAAAAAGACTCTGCAATCACCATTCTGCAGTCCCACTCTACTAAAGTAGTTCCAGTGCAGGTTAAAGGTCTTCTATCACATAATCAAAATAAAAAGAGCATCTTCTCCACTTACTCCTAACGTCCAACACCCTCCCTCTCCCTCCACTGGAGTACTTCACAGAAACACCACCTGTATCTCATTTTACCTCTGAGAACTGATTTTTTTTTTTTTTAACATACACTGAATACTAACTGGAAATGCAAAAAATTACCATCAAAATAGTAAATTCTTGAGATCATATGACTGTTTACCTACCTGTAAGACTTTCACCCTCCAAAAGCTATCATCAATAAATCTACTAGATTTGCCCAAAATTTTCCAAACTCTCACACTGTTTCCTGATCTCAGAAAGGCTATCAGTCAGACATGCAGTATAATAAAGGATAACTCTCCTGCTGTATCTACAGGGAAGAAGAGGACAGGACAGACAGGAGGAGCAAGAGCTGCTCAGGAAACCAGAGAAGCTTAAATATGAGAACAAAAAGTGGGCTAGTTAAGCACGTGGCCCTGTGTGCATCCCCCCAAGCTATGGGAAGGTGAAGAACCTTGGAAGATGACAGAGGTATTCAGCTTCAGCTGTAATTTTGCTGTATATGATCTCTCATACTTCTTGCCACTCATGCAAACCCAGGGGTTGCTATATTCCTTCTTATTTATTCAGCATTCCTATCATTGAATGTACTGCATAGTGCATGTTAGAAGGAAATTAAGCAAATCCTGTCAGATAGCTGAGTTTCTTTTTGTTCAGATGAAGCTGTTTTCCAACTGCTCACATTTCAAACCAAGCCTTTTTTCACAGGCAAAGAAAAGCTCACATGACAATTTTGACAAAAAAATAGTATATTGTCCCATGATGTATAAAAAATTAATTAAGACCAATAAAATGCATTTGTCTTAAAATAAAACATTATAAGAAAGCTGCACATTCACTTAGATAATATCAAAAACTTAAACATGGTAAGTTGTGGTATTAATTTATATACCTACATTGGCAATTTATATGCATAGAAAAGGAAAGCTACAGTTAACAGCCTGCTGTACTTATTAGCAAGAGATTGGTGACGATTTTTACCATGAAGGCAATTCAGCATAAAATTCATTGGCAGAAATTTGTCTAACTAGAGATTGGACAGCGAGTTGCAGAAAGAGATCTTACCTACATAAACACACATAAATAATTTCAACATAGTCAAAAGTTACTTCACATGTATATTTAAAAATATAACAGAACAATGAAAAGGGAACATGTAATAATATGCATGATAAAAAACTGTAAAATCACAAAGATTTTGGTAGTTCTATGTTCTGAAATTCTGCCAGTTAATGACTTTTGAGCAACAAGCTATACTTTTACTTGGAAGTACCGATACTGTATCTTGTCTATGACCTTTCTCATTTGCTAATATACTCTGTGGCTTAAACTTCTATAATATCTTTTCAGTAATGGTGATTCACCCTAGCCCTCTGTGCCCTCCAGGGGGGCAATCTTTTGTAAGAGATGCAGAACTGTCCAAGCTCCCGAGCAGATGCTTAATTTAATTCCAGTTTGTATTTCAATGGAAGGATAGGAGGGCTAACTGAAGTTCAAGGTCAGATTATAGTATTTCAAGGAATGCTGTAGTACATAGGGAACAGTGAGAATACCATAACATAAACGATACATATGCAGTGCATCTGCATATTTTGGTACTATCATCAACCTGAGAGAAAGATTCAGCTCATACTAATGAAAACACCTCCATGTTGATTAGCAACATGATTTCTAGGCTCTATTGACTGTACTGACTACAGTTCCATTAACTGTAATGACAGCTTGGACACTAAGTGAAGATAACTAAATTTAGGTAAATTTTGAAATGAACTGCATTCACTGTAACTTCTGTGGCAGAAATTTCATTTAGATAAAACTCATCTCTTATCAGTGTTTTTATAAAGTTATTTTACAGAGCAGCATCAATATAATTATAATGTTTGCATAAATCATTCTTTCCCTTGCTGAAAAACATGCTGTGGCTAAGAAAGATATCTTTGCCAATACAGTATTAAAAAGTAGTAATGTGAAAAGTTACTATACCTGGTTAAATTCCTGCCAGGTCATTGGCTAACTCTACATAGTGTGAAGCTTTTACTACTTCAACACACCTGCAACAGAAAGCAAGCCATAAAGATAAACAAAATGCATCTGTGCAAATGCCACTTTAAGTTATATACTTTTGTGTCCAATTCGCTTTCCTAAATGAGTTGTTCTTAGCTATTCTTTCTTTACAGAGGCAAAGAGCACTTTGATTAAAAATATTTGAAAAAACATTTTATTCCCATAACCTAGCTTAATAATACCATCTCTGCTCTCATTTTTTTTTTTTTTTGAGTCAGCTGCCTAAATATCACATTATTTTCCATCACTGAGTGATACTTGATGTCAAATATTGACTAAGATAATTTTTCAAACCATTTTCTTTGGATACATTCTACCAGCTGATTTTTCGAACCTGATGTCCTGTTGCATATACTACCAAGCCCATAAACCAGCTTAGTGAACAAAGCCAGAGACTGCAGATTGTGTCCTTGAGCTACATAATAAAGTCATAATAATAAATCTCTTTCTGATCATCCCCCAGTTACTTTTCGCTTAGGGTCTTCTGCAAAATGAGGGCAGAACAGAACACAGCAGACAGTTCAGGGGTTCGTTTGCAGACACCATCTTCCAGGGTTTGATGTGATGTACTTTAAAATTGCCTAATCATTTGAAGCAAGACCTTTATTTACTGTATGCATATATTGTTCTCTCAAACTGTTTGGAATTCAGCACATTAAATGAACAACTTTCTGGGATGCTTCCACTTTTTTTTTTTTTTTAAGTGGTGGGAAGCCTTTTTCTTTTCTTCTAATAGTTGGCTAATTTCCCAACAAAAGTTTAAATTAACAAACTGCCTGCTGCTATAATTGCGCTGGCACATGGACAGTCTCTATACAAAGTATACAAATGCCTTTTGATGTTGGAGGAAAACTTATATTGAAAAAAAAAAGCAATTTCTGCAAAGACATCTGTAATAAAAGAAGGGTCAAAAACCTGTTTTCAACTGCTAGTGTTAACATCTTTTAACCATAAAATGCAATGAGATCTAAGTATCCAACTGTTCCTTATGGAATATGACAGAATAGTCCCAAGATTATGTCACATTTTAAGTAAGAAGTTATGAGATCTGAAGATTATTTGTCCCCACTTTATTTCTGTAAATAAAATTAATCTCCTTAAAAGCACTTTTAATACTCAAAGGACTCATAACAAAGTGTAGTATTTGGAAAACCAGGCTCAAACTGCTGGTTAAACTTCTTCACTGGGCTTGAATACCTCAGCCTAGAAGAACAGAGAGTAAATCTGTCCTGATATACACAAAACAATCCCACGCATCTCACCAAAAGTTGTTTAATTAGCCAGAACAGATATGAAAGCGTGTTTT